ACGTTCTTCCACTTGTATTCTTTGTTTTTAGTTAGTGGAATCTAGGTACCCCAGTAAAACACTGGGTCTTCACATTTTTCCTGCCTTAGTTTCCACATTCAGTGAATCACTAAGATTTATCTCTAGCTCCATCTTGACTCCACCTCTTTCTTGTGTCTAGTCCTAGTCCAGCCCCTTCTTGTTTTCTACCAGAGCTGCTGTCCTCATTGGATACCTGGTATCAAGTGTCTACCCTGGTTGCTTGTCTTCTACCCTTGATGCTGCCTCCAGTTATTTGTCTAAAGGTGCTTCTCACCAATGTACTGACTTGGCTAGCCAGTTTCATTGTCTCCAGGTCATCAGATAGAGCCCAGCATCCTTCCTCTGCACCTGTGGCATTTTGCCACCTGGTCTTTCTTGTTCTGCCTGGCATAACTTTGCTGCCCTCACCTCTATAGGTAATGTTCCTGCAGTGTGAAAGTTCTTTTATTTCCCTCAAAAGGCTATGCTTTGTTCTTCTGTGCTTTTTGCCCTTTTCTTTTATTTTTCCTGAAATGCCTTTTATTCTTTTGTTCCCCTCTCACACAACTCACATGTTCAAAATGCCGGTAAGGGCAAGTCCCCTGTCTCTGTTCTGGATCCTCCTCCGCTCTGACTCTGGCTGCCCAACAGAGTTGATAATTTGTTTGTTTTTTGCTTTCCCTCTCTCTGTGTGGGTTTCTATTACTGCTATTACACTATTATATTTTTGTGTTTATCCTGTCTCTCTCAGGTGGTGGAGCTTTTTAGGGCACAGTCTTTGGCTCATTTTTCTTTGGACTTAGGAGAATCCCTGCAATGATGTTACCACTTAGCAAATGTCAATTAAATTGCATGTAATTGGACTGAATTAGTATGGCTTTAGATATGGTTTTGTAGGAGAGATTAAGAATCAGAAAACATGTTTATTCATACCCTTACTTTAAAAATGTGATTTGGTTACTTGGTTACATCTAGCTCTGACTCTTTAGGCAGAAAAAGTTGGAAAAATAAGATGCCTGCCAACTTAGAGTATTAGAAATTAAGCAATTAAAAGTTTTTCCTGAAGTCTGTCTTAAGATCCTTACATTGCACTTTAAAAAAAATCTTCCTGGTCATAAAGAAGAACAAAATCATGGCCTTTGCAACAACTTGAATGCAGCTGGAGATCGTCATACTAAGTGAACTGTCACAGAAACCAAGAAATGAATACTGCATATCTCACTTATACACAGGCCGTGAACACTGGTCACTCGAGCACAGTAGTGGGATCAGCAGACACTGGACACTGCTTGGGGTGATGGGAGAAGGAGGAGGGTATGTGAATACACACTGGGTCTCTGGTTCACTCTCAGGGGGAGAGAGGGCCAGCTAGTAGCCCAGCCTTCACCTGCATTCTACCTACTTATAAATTTCCACTTATACCCCAAAACTCTAAAGTAAATTTTAAAAAAAAGTACTAGTCTAACTTTATATACATTACCAAATTTCTCTGTTGCGGCACTTCAGTATTTTGTATCAGTTAGAGTACACTGTGGAGGTGGAGACATACAATAATTGAAGACGGAAAGTTTTATATAAACAATAAGGCAGTGGTCCCCAACCTTTTTGGAATCAAGGACCAGTTTCATGGAAGACCATTTTTCCACAGATGGGAGGAGGAGGAGGAGAGAGACAATCAGACATTAGATTCCCATAAGAAGCATACAACCTAAATCCGTTGCATGTGCAATTCACAACAGGGTTTAGCACTCCTATGCGAATCTAATGCTGCAGCTGATCTGACAGAATGCAAAGCTCTGCTCTCTGGCTGCTCACTTCCTGCCGTGCAGCCCAGTTCCTAACCGGCCACAGACACATACAACTCTGCAGCATGGAGATTGAGGACTCCTGCGATGGGGAGTTAGCTATTATGGGTAAAGAAAACTCTAAAGAATATAGAATAAGTAGCAGAAATAGGAAGCAGAGCACCCAAGGAAGAAATGTAGAAGAGGGTCCCATCCTCCTACTCTGGGATCTAGATCTCTTTGGAGAAGATATGTCTTACTGCATGACAGAGAAGTTCACCTAAGTGCTGCACTAATGGGGCTTACAGGGAGTCTGCCTTCTGTGGTTTTGGGGGGACATTGCCCACAGGGAGGTGCCACACTGGAGAAGTCACTGAGGATCTGTCAGTGTGGATGGTACTTTTTTGGAGGCCACTCTCAGGGTCTAAAGAAAAGCTGCCATGGGTTGGTGTAATGTGCCCGTAGGTAAGAAGAGAATCAGGAAGAAGAGCTTTTCTTCCTCCAGTGTAACTCTTCCAACACCCTCTACTGACATTGCCTAAAATTGTGCTTGCTGACCAAGACAGGGCAATGGAAAGGTGGATTTGGAGTCGAAAAGTAACAGATTGACAACTGGCACAGTCCACCCCTTTAGCTACTGAGCTTCCATATGCTCTAACTTCACAAGATACAGCTATCACAGAAAATAGAGTTTAAGTAACATAATATATTTAAGATTATATATATATTAATATTTTAATATTTATGGATACAATTTTATATATAACTACATACAAATAATTTTATGTAATTTATAAATATATAATTTATGTATATTGAAGGCTATCACCCAAGAAGGGTAGGTATGTTAGATGAGGCTGAGAAGGGAAATGGAGACATACCTATAGATTCTGAAGTAGTTAATGTCATTCTTAGACAAAACATATTGTGAAGTATTTCAACTTTATTGTCTTTGATCTATAAATATTAAAAGCAACATTCTTTTTATTTTTGAGTTGGGGTCTCAATCTGTCACCTAGGATATAGTGCAGTGGCATGGTCACAGCATCTTCACAGCCTTGACCTCCTGGGTTCAGGTGATCCTTCTGCCTCAGCCTCCCAGGTAGCTGAGATTACAGGTGTGTACAACCCTGCCTGACTCAGTTTTTAAAAAAATTTTTGTAGAGATGAAGTTTCACTGTGTTGGCTAGGCTGTTCTTGAACTCATGGACTCAGCAATCCACTCACCTAAGCTTCCCAAAGTGCTGGGTATGAGCCACCATGCCTGACCTAAAAGCAATATTCGTATACATGTCACTTAAGAATGAATTTGTTTTTGCTTAGAAACATAAAACATAAGACAGAGTGACTTTACAGTAGTTAGTCATTGAACCAGAGCTGGTAAAGAGAGAGGAAGGAAGGCTTGCGTGAAAGTGTTATGAACACAAATAGTCCCTGACTTACAATAGTTTGCCTTAAGATTCTTTGACTTTACAATGGTGTGAAATAATACGTATTCAGTAGAAACTATACTTCCAGTACCCATACACCCATTCTGCTTTTCATTTTCAGTACAATATCCAATAGATTACATGAGATATTCAACACTTCATTATAAAATAGGCTTTGTGTTATATGATTTTGCCCAACTGTACACTAATGAAGTATTCTGAGCATGTTTCAGGTAGACTAAAAAAGCTATGATGTTTGGTAGGATAGAGGTATTACATGCATTTTTAACTTGTGCTATTTTCAACTTATGAGGGGTTTACCAGGGGAGGATCTTATTTTCCTTATGACAAATTTATTACTACTGCTTATACATTAATTCCGTCAGCCAACATATTTGAGTGCCAGGAATATTTTTGCCACTGTGCAAAGATAGGAAATGAGGAGAACAGTCTGTGTGAATGACTTTAAGAGGGAGAAGAGGTTTGGGGTTGGGTAGCTGAGCATGCTGGTCAGTTGTTCGAGTCCACTTTGTACAGAACATGTGTGTTGCTTGTCCACTTTCAGACAGGCATGGAAGTATGGTGCAAGTGGTATGGTCATAACTTGGGAGTACTGCAGTAGAATTAGTTCTTAGGGTAAATGTTAACATGAATTTTTGTTTTGTAAGCTTAATAACAGCATGTGATTTATGGAGGCTGCATTAAATTGTCCTGCAGGCTCTTTTGGAATACTCTTTTGTTATCATAGGAAGAAGAAAACAGGAATAAAAGCAGCCTTATATGTCCCATAGAGGATTCTTAGGGATATGGATGACATCATGGCTGTTTAATGCATCTTGACTGATATATAATCTATGACTTAGAAAGATGGCGAGCTGTAAGGCAAAGTCTGGTGTTTCTTCCTAAATATGACATTATTACTTCATTACTCATCTCTTCTTGTTTCATGAGCATCTCACTCTATGGTTATCATTGTTTTTATTTAATTTCTTACCTGGTCATGTGGATAAGTAGAAGTACCTTAGAGGTATTGCTTTTCTAGCATCTGTTCTTTCGAGCTATGAAAAGTGTGTGAGAAGTTGGGGGGCAGGTAGGGTGATGAAATCAGGGATGGAGACAAGTATGCTTCAACCCCCTAGCTGATAAACAATTTTGAGGACATTGAGATAGATTCTAGAATTACCTTACTGTTGGCCTTCAAATCCTCATTCAAATGATAGAGGATACTCCCCACTAAAGAACTAGCCAGAACTCTCTAATACAGGTAAGAACATTGGGTTCATATCTCTAATTGCCTTCTTAATTATCATTTTTTAGTGCTTATAAACAATAGATCACTGTGTCAGCAGATTTGATATCTGGTGAGGGTCCACTTCTTGATTTGCAGACAGCTGTCTTTTTGCTGTATCCTTACATGGTGGAAGGGATGAGGGAACTCTCCGGGATCTGTCCCTTTATAAGAGGACCGATCGATCCCATTCCTGAGGACTCCACCCTAAAGGATTCAGTTGTGGAGGTGCCCATAACCTTTATATGGGGGGGGGCGTGTAGATAAAGTCAGATCAATTTAGTTTGCTCAGCACTGTATACTGTGCTCTCCTAAACATTTTAGAGAGATTTGGAGTCTTCATTATGTCATTAGTTACCATGTAATATATAACAATTTGAATCATTTGAATCTGATACTTGGTGTCAGAAACTCTGGCTGCCTGGATTGCTGAAGGCGCAAGTGGTGTTAGTGTTCTTGCCTAATCCTAAATGTTTGGTTTTTTTTTTTTCCTTTCAGGTTTTTCTAAAGAGTGACCGAGTGGCCAGAATGGTGCAGAGTGGAGGCTGTTCTGCTAATGATTTCAGGGAGGTATTTAAGAAAAACATAGAAAAACGTGTGCGGAGTTTACCAGAAATAGATGGCTTGAGCAAAGAGACGGTGTTGAGCTCATGGATAGCCAAATATGATGCCATTTATAGGGGCGAAGAGGACCTGTGCAAACAGCCAAATAGAATGGCACTAAGTGCTGTGTCTGAACTTATTCTGAGCAAGGAACAACTCTATGAAATGTTTCAGCAGATTTTGGGTATTAAAAAACTAGAACACCAGCTGCTTTATAATGCATGTCAGGTAAGTGATCTATGATATTTTCCATCCCTCTGTCTGACTCATAGAATGAACATCAAGTGTTTACAAGACTATAAAGATGTACTTTACTTTCTATAATGTCTTTGCTTGAAAAGTTGAGTGAAATTGAATTTTAATAAATCATATAGTGATGTTTGAAATAAGTATTTGATAGAGGGAGAAGAATATCAGCACATTTTATCCAGTAAATAATTGTTCCTATGTACCCTATTTTAGAACATCATATTTGTGCCAATGGGGCATATATGGGCCATGCCCCGAATAATAAAATGAAAATCATCTGCAATCTGAAGAAGCTTGGCAATTTATAATAGAAAGGTATTCCTCATTGCAAAATAATGACAAAGATATCATGCTGGTCTTCTGAGTTTTATGAAAATAATTACATTTCAGATTTTTAAAACCCACTCAGGTAGAAATGAGTTGAGGATGGTTGTTAAACTGTGTAATTTAAAGAGATGACAGAGTTAATATTATATTTTATCTTCAGTTTTTCTATTATGCACATGAAAAATGGAATAAAATCTCATGTTCCATATCTTTCATTTTTTAGACCCTATAATTTGTCTAAAAATATATTCATTCTATATTTGCATGTTGTTTGCTTGTTTTGGAGATAAAAATTATTTAACTATGACCTAACATACAATTTAAATTGATAAAAGTCTGGCATTTTATTTATTTATTTATTTTTTTGAGTTGGAGTCTCACTTTGTCACTCAGACTGGAGTGCAGTGACCACTCCCAGCCACCGCAGCCTCGACCTGCGGGGCTCTGGCGATCCTTCCACCTCAGCCTTCCAAGTAGCTGGAACTACAGGTGCGCACTACCACGCCCGGCTAATTTTTGATTTATCGTAGAGATGAGGTCTCGCCAAGTTGCCCCGGCGGGTCTCAAACCCGCGTGCTCAGGCAATCCACTCACCTCGGCCTTCCAAAGTGCTGGGATTATAGGCTGAGCCACAGAGCCCGGCCAAGCCTGGCATTTTAAAATTAATGTGTTCCTTAAGAGTTACACTTCTATAATGTACATATGTTTATTTTTAAGCTTATTGCAAATCTACTCCTAATTTCTGTATTTCCGTATTCCATATCACTCACTTTGCATTACTAACTTGTAGATCATTTAAAATGGATACAGTAATAGAGTTAATTAATAGTAAAGCATGTGACACTTTAACTGTGTGAACAGTTTGTATATATACCATAATTGTTTTCACGGTGCCACTTGACAATAGTAGAGTGACTATAAAACAAAAATATTCTATTTTAAAAGATAACTACAACTGGAACTTTGTATTTTTAATGAAGTGATAGCTCACTTGTACAGTTAGATGTTGATGAGCATAATTTAGTGGTAACGTTCAGATTCAGACATACAGTAGATATTCCTTGAGCATTTATTCCATAAAAAATGTCTCCGTAGGTATTACGGAAACCCAACTGAGTAAAAAGCATATTTGTTCTCCATATACTAAAGTCTGATAGAGCAAATAGGTCTTTAAATGAGTTATTGTACATGTACTAGAGTATACTGGATGTTACAAGGTTATAAAATACAACCTCGTTTACCTGAGATTTTGTTTACTAATTCAATAAATTCTCTGCCACTAGAGAATCAGCTGGGGTGTGAGCCCCTTGATTTCTATTTTATATGATTTGAACCATACTTCTACTCAAATTTCCAACTATCATAATGGATTTGTTTATTTTTCCTTTGTTCCATCAGTTATTTTCCTCTTGTGTTTAGATGCTTGGTTAGGTACTCAAACTTATATTCAGATTTTTATATCTTCTTGTAGAATTGATGCCTTTGTCATAGTATAATATTCATTTTTATCCCTGAAGTCTACTTTGTCTTTAACTAATATAGACATGTCAGCTTTCCTTTTTTTTTTTTTGAGTTGGAGTCTCACTCGGTCGCCCAGACTGGAGTGCAGTGGCCGCTCCTGGCCACTGCAGCCTCGCCTGCTGGGCTTCGGTGATCCTTACGCCTCAGCCTTCCGAGTAGCCGGAATTACAGGCATGTAGTGATTTTTTGATTTATTGTAAAGATTAGGTCTCGCTGCCCAGGCGGGTCTTGAACCCGCGGGCTAAGGCAGTCCACTCACCTCAGCCTCCCAAAGGTGTGGGATTACAGGCTGAGCCACCAAGCCTGGCAGCTTTCCTTTTATTAGGGTTAGCATGGTGTCTCTCCTATGTTTACTTTTAACCCAATTCTTTATTATTAAAGTAGATTTTTTATAGACAGCATATAATTGAGTCTTGTAGTATTTTAAAAATCCAGTCAGGTAGTCTTTGTCTTTTAATGATTGTGTTTAGACGATAATATTTAATGTGACTACTAATATGGTTGGATTAAATTCTACAGTCTTGTAGCTGCTGCCACTTCCTTGCATTTGTTCTTTGCTCTCCCCCATTTTCTGCCTTCTCCGATTTTGATCGAACGTTTTACTTGATACCATTTTATATCCTCTTTTGGTGTACCACTTATACTTGTTTTTTAAAAAAAATTATTTAGTGGTTGCCTTAAAGTTAAAAATATGCATTTGTAAATAATCTAAGGCCATTTTCAAGTAACACTACACTATAAGACTTCATAGTGCAGTTACTCTATAATAGAATATTCCCAATTCCTCCCTTCTATCACTTGTGATATTGCTGTCATTCATTGTACTTACAATATGCTATTGTTACCCAATAGATCGTTACTATTATTGCTTTTAACAGTTATCCTTTAGCTCTGATGAGGAAAAGAAAACACACATATATTTAAAATCTTCATTTATTCCTTCTCTGATGATCTCTTATTTATGTAGATTCAAGCTTCTTACCTATATCATTTTCCTTATTTCTGAAGAATTTGTTCTAACATTTCTTGCAGGGTAAGACTATTGGTGATGCAGTTTATGTTTGCATCAGTTTATGTTTGTCCGAGAAAGGCTTTGTTTCTCCTTCACATTTAATTGATAACTTAACTGGATATAGACTTATTAGTTAGGTTTTTTTTTTTTTTGGTCTCTTTCAATACTCTGAATATTTCAGTCTACTTTCATTTTGCTTGTATGGCTTTGACAAAAAATCTTATGTAGTCATTAGCCTTGATCCTCTATAGGTAAGGTGATATTTTTCCACTTAAGCCTGCCTTCAAGATTTTCTTTTTCTCTTAGTGTTCTGTAGTTTGAAGATGATATACCTAGTTGTAGGGTTTTGGGGTATGTATGTATGTGTGTGTGTGTGTGTGTGTGTGTGTGTGTGTATTTCTCTTGCATAGTATTTTTCTGAGCTCTCTGTATCTGTGTGTCAGTGTTTATTAGTAATTTTGGAAAGTTCTCTACTATTACTTCAAACATTTCTTTTGTACCATCTTTCCTTTCCTTCTGGTATTGCAGTTATGTTTGTGTTACCCTCTTTTTATATTGTCTGGGAGTTTTGTGTGTGTATGTGTGTGTGTGTGTGTGTGTGTGTGTGTGTGTGTGTGTGTTTTCAAGCTCTTTCTCTCTTTGCATTTCAGGTTGGGAAGTTTCTGTTGATCTGTCTTCAGTTCACTGATTCTTTCCTTAGCAGCGTCAAGTCCACTAATAAGCCCATCGAAGGTATTCTTCGTTTCTGCTTCGGTGTTTTTGATTTCTAGCATTTCCTTTGGATTCTTTCTTAAGAGTCTCCATCTTTTGCTTGTATTATGCATTTGTTCTTGCATGTTTCAACTTTTATTATTATTGCCCTTAGCATATTAAAAATGATAATTTAAATTCCTTATTTGATAACTCTAACATCTGTGTCACATCTGAATCTGATTTAGATGCTTGCTTTTTCTCTCTAGACTGTATTTCTTTTTCCTTTTTTGTCTTTGTCATGTCTCATGATTTTTTGTTTAAAACCAGATATGTTACACCAGGTAGTGAGAACTGAGATAAATAAGGCTTTAGTATGAGGATAAATGTTAGTCTGTGTAGGAGTTGAGCTGTACTCAATGTGTCTTGTATCTATAGGAAAGGTCACCAGTTTTTCTAGTATCTTTGTTTGTATCTCTTCTTTTAACTCTGGGCTTCCCTAAGTACTTCTCCTTAGAGAAAGTCTGTGTCTTAAAGCTCTTTTACATGTGATCCATCCACTACTGATACTGGAACTGTGTTGATGCTGCAGTAAGGTGTTGGAGAGAGTGAGTGTTCTATAATCTAATGAAACCTCAATCTTTTAATGCACCTGTGTCTCAAAGTTATAACCCACACAAGTGTTTCCATCTTTGCCCAGGAGGAGTATCACTCCCTCCCACCTCCATGTTTTATGTTCCCATCCCTGGCTGCAGCATTCCCAAATTATTTTATTGAGGTCCTGTTCCCTATTTAGTCTGTTTTTGGTTTTTTTTGTTGTTTTTTTTTTATTTCAGTAGGTTAAAAAAAAAAGACTACAGTAGGGTGGTATGTTCTTCCTCTAGTTAGCCAGGGTAAGTTTTCAGTGTTTTCTGTTGGTGATGTCTTTCCCCTTTTGTTAGGGAGATGGTGATACAACAATGGCCTTTCCCCACTTTTCCTTTCATGATCACATGGGGATCTTGCTTGGATCCTCACTGTAAGAACTTGGTGGGGTTACTGAAAGGAAGGTCCTGTGAAGTTTGGGGGGGGGTCCCTTTATGATGGTGGTGCCAGGTGTTTCTTATTTTCTGCACTTACCTCATAGTAATTCATCAGAATTACGAGACAAGTGTTCCTACTATTTATGACATTTAGAGACTTCTGTTCCATGTATTTTTTTTTTAAAGAAAGCAGGGTTTATTGAGAAGACAGAAAAGCTCCCACAGTGGGAGAGGACCCAAAGAGGTTGGCTGCTCTGTCTTTTTAATTTACCTTTCTTTCTAGATTTTGGTTTAGTGGTTTACCCTGTACCATCAGTTTTCTGATAATTTTAAGAAAGGTAACTGGTTTGCAGTTTTCTTAGGTTTTTAATCTACATATGGGAATGATGACTTCCAAACTTCACGTC